TGAAAATAGCATCAATGTGATAAAATTCTGTATGCTTGTTTAAATCACTTTTAAAAACAGTTCTTAAGAATTTAAACAGCATCTTTTAAGAATTTAACAGCATGAGAAAACACATTATAATGTATTTGCAGTATAGTATATACAACTACACTGTATAGCCAGATATTGGTGGTTGAATTTCTAGTTATTTTTATTTTTTGTTGTTGTTTTGTTTTGTTTTGAGATAAGGTCTCACTATGTAGTTTACCCTGGCTTGAACTCACTATATAGCCCAGCCTGGCTTGAACTCACTATATAGCCCAGGCTGACCTTGCACTTGCAGGGATCCTCCTGCCTCACCCACTCCAAATGCCTGGCTTTTATATATACTTTTTTTTTTTTTTAGACAAAGGCTGTCCTTGAGCTTACTATATAGCCCCTGCTGGCCTCAAACTCAACAGTGATCCTTCTACCTCAGCTTCCCAACTGCTTAGATTACAGACGTGCACCACCATACCTGGTTTATTTTAATTTTAAAGTAAGCAATACTTATGTGTAATACCAAATGTTTTGTTTTGGTTTTGGTACTGGGAATCAAACTTAGGATCTTGCACTTGCCAGGCAGGTGCTGTGCTGCTAGGCTTATATCCGCAGCCCTGTTTTGTTTTATTGAGACAAGGTCTCCCTGTGTAGTCCAGGCCAACCTAGGGCTAGCTATATAGTGTAAGCTGGCCTCTAACTAGTGAGGCTGCCTTAGTCTCCCAAGTGCTGGAATAATAGGTATGTGTCACCATGCCCAACTTGAGATGCAAAAGTTGATACAAGGAAAACGTGAAGTAAAAAGTGTGCTATTGTTCCTTAGCTTTGCAGCTCACCTCTGTGGAAGCATCAGTGATTATTAGGGATGTTTTAAAATGAAAGTGATAAATTATTTCTATGATTAAGTATGTCTGCTTTCTTCTTCTATGTAACCTACTTCTTCCTGCTCCCAAATCCAAACAAATTGTGGTACATTCACACAGCAGAATGCTGCTCAGAAATAAAAAGGAATGGACTGTTGATGTACCCGACAACATGGATGATTTTCAGACTAATTATGCAGACATGTATATATTTTAAGGACTTTTTACATAAAATTCAGAAACTACAGACTAATCTTTAGTGACAAAAAAGATCCAGGGATTAGGGAGAGTTTAAAAGGGGCATAGGAAACTTGGAGATGATGGGTAGGTTCGCTGAAGTGATGGTTGAATGGTTGTATGTATGCATGTATGGTTTATTGGATGTTATGCTTTAGAATTGTGGGTAACTTGTTAATATCGCTACATATTCAGTGAATATTAAAAATTCTCCAGTTCTTACACATTTTAACATTTTTAAAAGCTATGGTCTAAGTATCATCTGTTTGTGGTATTGATAATATTTCTTAAGTCTCTTATAATACATAGGTTCTTACTCTTTTTTTTGCCTTGCAAAGCATCTGTTGAGGAAACTGAGTCATGTGTCCCAAAAACTGCCATTTTCCCGATTTTCTAATTGTATCCTCCCCTCAGTATTCTCTTCTAGTGATAACTGGTAACATGAATGTTAGTAGTATTAGTAGGGTAGCATTCCCTGTTGCAGTGTATCAGCAGGCAAGTAATATCTGGTTGTCTCTTCTGTGATAACTAAGAGTAGTTTTGATGTTGTCAACCTGATCCATCCTTTGTAAAATTCCCTATCAACCTCTCTGATTTTGCTTTCATGTCCAGATTGAACAAGTATTCCTAGAGAAGAGCTAAACAAACAGAAATATGGAAAACCGTAGATGATTTCTGAGTACACAGGAGTTGCTTAACTAGAGAGCTTTCATTTGTTTCATTTTTATATCATGTTTGTCATCAGAACTTGGGTCTGGTAGACCTGAGGTGTGTTCTGGATGCTTCACCACCCCTCAGATTAGATGTGCTGCTGCTTTTTCAAGTAACCTGTACTACCTGTTCCCCTGTATAGCAGTGATTATTTTATGTTGCTTTTATATCCTGAGATTCTTGCCTTCTAAGCTGTGAACTTCTTGAGAAATAGGATATGAACATTGTATTCTTCTCTTGATGCATTGTAGGTGCTGAATTAATACATGTCAAAGTGAATACATATGTATTCTTTCAGTTTTCCTTCCCTTTTTGGTAGAGAAGGCATAGTGTGGAGATTGAACCCAGCGCCTTACACAAGCTAGTTAGACACTACCCCTGAGCTACACCCCCAGCCCTACATATTCTTTTAGTAGTTAAAAACATAAGCCTTAAAATGGTAGTACTTTGTGATAGTGTTCATTTGTTTACTGAAGGGTATGTGTATGTGTGGGTTTTTACGGTAGCTAATACAGTTGTTTGTCTTTTAGGTTGTATATGTTAAGGATGAAACACAGTCCTTAGCCATGGGAAATTTTGTGGTCTTACTGGCTAGAGAGGGCACAAATGGCTCAGTTAGTGCCCGTATGTGCCTTACATTTAATCCTTAGTTATGTAAAATCTAAACTGTGTAATATTAGGTAAGTACAAAAGGATGTGGTGATGGAGAGATCAATGAAGACAGGAATCAAGAACGACTTCAGAGAAGAAGATTTAAATTTTATCATTATGGTAAGAAAGGCCACGGTGAATTGGAAAAGAAGAGGTAAAGAAATATTTCAGAGAGGAGACACCTAGTAAGGGAGACCTAATGTTACACAGTTAATGTTTTCCATGTTCAGAGATGCTTTCAGTAGTGTGGAAGTCCCTACCTCTCCCCTTCATTTCATTTTGTAAAAGCTTCATAAGTTTTTGGCATATTCTTATAAACTGATCCCTTGGTCTCTGTGTGATGTTCCATTATTAGTGATCTTACCAAACTTTGCCTACTGCTTCGAAATCATTTTGACATTGAGAATATTGTCTCCTTAAATCTCAAGTTAGAGCTGAATATAATGGTGCATTCTGCTAATCCCAGCACTCTGGGATTAAGATTTTAGCTGGGTATGAGTAGTGTACACCTGTAATCCTGGCACTCTGAGAGGCTGAAGCAGGAAGAGTGTGAGTTTGAGGCCAGTTTAGACTGCAAAGATCCTGTCTCAAAAATATATGTTAAAAAAAATTCTTTCAACAGTTTGGTAATTAGCTCATTCCCCTTTCTCTTTATCCTAGTTATTTAGTCTGTTAAAAAAATACTCTTTTATTGCCTACAGATTTTCTCATTTTTGGGGAGTAAGAATAAATATGTAAACATCTTTGTGGGCTGGTGTTTTTGGTTTTGGTTTTTTTGCATTTGTGGGGATTAACCCTGGGGGCTTTGCACATAGCTATGTATTCCCAGCTCTATTTTTATTTTTTATTTTGAGACAGGGTCTCTCTAGGTTGTTCAGTTGCCCAGGCTGGTCTTCAATTTGCAATCCTCATGCCTCAACCTCTCCGAGTGCCAGGATTACAGGTGTACACTACTCATGCTCAGCTAACATCTTTGCTTTTTATTAATTAAAAAACTAAGATTTGGTTATGTCCAAGGCTACTGTGTAGCCTTGGAAGAGGGAAAAAATAGGATGTGGGAAAACTGAGAATTTGAACCTGGGTCTGTTGAACCTAGTCTTTAAGCTATACCAGACTTTAAGATGATGTTTTGGAAGACAAATTGGACAACACTGGATGAGTCTTAATTTTTTAGCTAGATATGGTGGCACACACCTCTAAACACAGCACTTGGGAGGCTGAAGCAAGAGGATCATGGGGAGCTTGAGGCCAGCCTGGTCTACACATGAGTTTAACACCAACCTGCACTACAAACCGAGACCCTATCTCAAAGAAAGCCCCCCCTTTTAATTTACTTTGTGCATTTCAAAATCTACTAGATAGTGAGCGATAGGCTTTCCAGAGGGCTAAGAGAGGACAGGAGGAGCCTGACGGCTTGTACAGATTAAGCTTTTAACTCCCACAAGCCTCTGAATGAGAACACTCGCCCTTACACTATTGCATACAAAGGACATCAGACACTACCACCCTGGCCTGCATAGCCAGACCCAGCCCACACAGCTGAGTGAAGCACACAAAACCTATAGGTCAGGCCTTGGTAGTCACAAGTTGAAACTAATACATATTCCAGAAGTTTTGAAAAATGTTTCTGGAACCTCCAGGACTGAAGAGTGAGCGGATTTCCTGGAGGGAAAAGAGTGGAGCCAGGTGTGGTGGTGCTTGTCTACTATGCCAGTATGCTGGGAGGCTGAGGCAGAAGAAGCACAAATTTGAGCCCAACCAGAGCAATTTAGTGAGTTAAGGCATTGTCTCAAAATAAAAAATTGTAAAAGGCTGGAGATGTAGTTCAACTCTCAGTATCACCAAAAAAAAAAAAAAAAAAAAAA